ATTCTCGGAGTTTCTTCACCGTTTCAGGTTTGGGAAACTCCCTAATCGCGGTTATCTTCTGTGGTAGGGGTTGTATGCCACTGGGCGAGACTCTGTGACCGAGGAAATCGATGGCCGAGGTTCCAAAGACGCACTTAGCAGGATGAACTTTCATGTTGTTGTTCTGCAGGCGTTGGAGAAGGAGTTGTAGGTGGTGGCGGTGCTCGGCAGGCGTCGAAGATGCGACGAGGATGTCGTCAATGTAGACAGTGACAAAGTCGAGGTCGCGAAGCATGTGGTCCATGTACCTCTGGAAAGTCTGTGCTGCATTGCGTAAGCCAAAACTCATGAAAGTGTACTCGAAGAGTCCAAATGGAGTGGTGATGGCTGTCTTCTGGGTATCTGCCGGTGCTACTGGGATCTGGTGGAAGGCACGCTCCAAGTCGATCTTCGAGAAGATAGTCTTGCCATGAAGTTTGTGGTGAAAGTCCTGGACATGCGGAATAGGGTACCTGTCAGGTTTGGTGACGAAATTCAGGGCTCTGTAGTCGCCACACACCCTCCACTCGCCGGGCGTTTGCTTAGGAACCATGTGAAGAGGCGATGCCCAGGGACTCCTTGAAGGGCGAATGATGCCATCTTGCAGTAGTTTGTTGAATTCTACTTTGGCTGTGTACAGGAGCTCAGGGCGCAGGCGGCGAGGGCGTGAAAAGACTGGTGGTCCTTTGGTTTCGATGTGGTGGAAAATTCCCGACGTAGGTGGTGGGGGTAGGGAGACTCGGGGTGAGAAAAGCTCCTTGAATTCGTTGAGTAGGGAGGAGAACTCGTTGGAAGGCGCAAGACAGGTGATAGTGTCGGTGTGTCTGGCACGAGAACCCTGGATCTTGCGTGCTGTAGGCTCATGGATGAGGCATAGATGACTTGGTTTGACGCCGAGCTTGTGGAAGGTGAGGAAGTCGAAACCAAGGATGGGTTGAGACACGTCTGCTATCACGAATAACCAACGCAGAGTCTTGGGCAGACCGAGGTCTAAAGTGAGGGTGAGTACGCCGTAGGAGGCGATGGGGGTACCGTTGGCAGCGAACAGGTCATAAGAGGGTTGCTTTGACTTGTCTTGTAGTGAGGGAGGGATGAGGCTTACCGATGAACCTGTGTCGATGAGGAACTTCTTGCCAGAGGTGCGGTCGGTGACGTACAGTAATGAGACGCCTGAAGGGACGGGGGCTGAGGCGTCTACCAGCCTCTGGTGTTGCCGTTTCCCGAATAGGTGCAATAGGGCTCACAGTTTCGAGCATTGCGGCCGAAAGTCTGGTGATACCAGCAGAGGGTATATTTGTTGTGCTGGGTGCTGGCTGCTGTGTGTCGGAAGTTGTAGGGTGTGGTGCGTGAGTCAGGAACTGGCACAGCAGCGGGTAAGGAGGAGCAGAACTGCTCAATGGTGTCCATCCTGCGGTTCAAGGTTTGTAACAGGTCCTTGATATCTTGTGAGGTATTGCTCGGCTGAGGTGTGTTGACCCGGCTTGCAAGTTCGGTGGGAGGTACTGGTGTGACCGTGGCAGCAAGGGGTGCAGCAGTGCACTGGTTGAAAATTCTGTCTGCCGCGGTTGCATATAGCTCTGGTGTCGTAGAGTAATCTACTGCGGACAGGATGTTGCTTACTTCTGTGGGTAGCTTTTGTGCGTGAAGCTGGCGCAGGATAGAGTCAGGAAGTCTGTCTGTGTACCGGGAGTTCACCCTGCACATCTCTTCCCAGAGATGTCCCGGAGTTGAGTTTCCAAGGGAGATGGAAGATAGGTTCTGCAGGATATTGGAGCGGGTCCGTTGGTAATGCGTTCTTAAGGCATCCCGCAGAGTGGCGAATTTGTTGCTCTCTGGAGGGTTGGAGATGATCTGTGAGACTTGTGTGGCGACTTCAGTGGGCAAGGAGCAGAGCAGGGCGCCGTACTTCTGCTCGTCTGTTGTGAGAGTGGTCCGGGTGTTAGGTGCGGGGGCTGCGTCAGCAGAAGCGGATGAGGGCTCGTGACAGCAGCTGGGTCCACGACAGCATCAGGGTGCAGGACATTAGCAGGGAGCACCTGAGGGAGAAAAGAGGGGTGTGGGTCTGCACTCAGGAACAGTGGCCGCGTCAGGGGTTACTGCTGGGCCGGGGTCGGCGTCTGAGACAGGACGGGTGTGCTGGGGTTGGTAGGACGTGGTGCTTGGGGCAGGAAGAGGAGCTGGTGTCTGCTTAGAGAAGCAGTGCTGCTCTAGGGTGTCTAACCTGCAGTGTAGAAACAGTAGCTGTAGAGCCGATAAGAGCTGCTTCTGTGTGGATAAGCCAGTCTTCCATGTTGCTTGAAGATTGGGAGCGTGATCAGTTTCTCCTCCATCCTGTGTGAGTGCGAATCTCTGGGGGTCATCATTTGTGGGGTATGAAATTGTTTGGTTCACACTCAGGATGGGATGGAGAAAGGAAATTCACAATGTGCTCTCTATATACATGTTGTATTGGATGTACAATGCAGCTTGGTGCTGGGAAGGCAGCATGGTTACAAGCGTGATGTAGAGAGAGCTGGTTGGTGAGGACGCTCAGAGAAGGACAGCTTGTGGGTCGCCATGCTCACCAGTGGGAGAGGAGACCACCAGGCAGGCGGAGGAGGAGCGAGGACCGCCAGGCAGGCGGAGGAGGTGTTGCTGGCTGGTTGGTGTAGATAGAAAGAGGGAGATCACCACGAGGTCAGGTCTTAAATAGCGGGGGTTGGCGTGGCTTAGTAGTTGACCCCCGCTCCGTGGTGTATGGCGGCGCTGGTTGACCTAGACAACGAGGCATACACTGGGGAATTGGTGGGGTCGGCTACTCAGCGACAAACAGCGTTTGTAGGGGAGAAATCCACTACACTATCATCTTTTTGTAGTTCTTAAATATCGTCCAGATCATTAATAAAGCTGTAGCAGTATAGCCACGGTGTTTTACTTTTTACCTATGCAGGTTACAACATACAAATTACAATCAGGATGGTAGAAATAGTTGTTACAAATAGGCCAAGGAGTCGGAGTCGGAGTCGGAAGCATAAAAAATTTGAGGAGTCGGAGTCGGAGTCGAAGGTTTTGTCTTCGACTCCACAGCCCTGGGTCAGCCAGTGGACATTTAGCTTGGTCATGTCCATGTTCTTGTAGGCGTGTGGCTTGTGGGCTGTGTGGATCACCGATAACTTGAGTTTAGAGGAACCGGTGGCATTGGTGGTAAAGAGGACGGTGATGCGCTCCTTCTGCAACTTCCGGCCCCGACACTTGCTGGCAGACTGGACAACGAAGGTCTTGGAAGGTAGCTTTTTCCAAAACAGACTGGATTCGTCCATGTTGAACACCTGGTTGTCGGTGTACTGTCCTTCCTCCATAATCTCACGTACGAACGGAGGAAAATCCCTAGCCACAACACGGTCAGCACTCGCTTCTTCACCACCAATGTTAATGTTGGTATTCTTGTTCCTCTTCTTAAACCTGTGCAGCCACCCAGAGGAAGCATTGAAGGGTTTGGGCTCTGCAATTCCCATCTTATGTGACACTGCTGCGTACAGTTCACGTGCGTACTTCTGAACTGACCGCGTGTCGACCGCCATGTTCCGTCTTGCCTGACGAATCAAATAGCTGCTCACAAGTAAATTCTCCGTCTTGAGAAGCACCTTGTTCTGATAATACTTGATCATTGAAGCACCTGCAGACTTTGTGATGTTCATGTGTTCTTTTATCTTGGCTGCATCCTTCTTTATCGTCCGGATCGTAGATTCGTTCACGCCATGCTGGCGCGCCAAATCAACTTGTCTTTTTCCTTTCTCCAACTCTTGGATAATCTTGTACAGTACTTCACATTGTAGCTTAGGGCACGTCTTATCTTCTTTGGCTTAGGGCGGCTGGGTCCAGGTAATGCAAGGTTTTTTTATGGTGGTGGTGGTCCGGTGGCAGCCATTCTTATGGAACGATACCGGTATACACGGTGTGGCCGGAAGTGGTGTAACTGACGCGGCTAGGTCAAGCAGCTTCATCTCTCCCGCGGCAGGGCACGTCATATTACATTAAACCAATCACAGCTAGCGGCGGAGGGAGGATGCGTGGCCCAATCACAGTCCAATACGTCATATGACGTCAGAGATAACGCAACAGACGCATCCACTGCGCAACCTACTCATGCAGCGTGCCCAACATGGCGGGATAGCGGGAGGTTTGAATCCAAAAATGGCGGCGCGGCAGGACCGCCAGCCGCTCTCCGCGTATATGAGTAGATGCACCGCGTAAAGTGGGAATTCCAGTTCTGGCGGGATACCGCGTAAATGTGGAAACGTGTAAACGAGATCCGCGTAAAGCTGGGTATTACTGTATACTGTAGCACCGTGGCTTTCACCTTTATTCTAGACATCTCCAGAGGCCACTGAATTTACAGGGACTGAGGGAGGCTTAAATACAATGAGTGACCTTACATAACATCAGGTCAATAATATGGGATCCACTAATCCACACACCATCTCCGTCGCAAACAAAAGAAGAGCTTATAAAAAAATGGGTGACATAACAACTGGTAACAGTTTCCTAAATACTCCCTGCTAAAATTGGGGGTGAATCTTTTTTGGTGTTTTTTATATCATTACTTGTATTTATCATTTTTACACACACACACACACAGAGTAAACCTTCAATAACACGGAATTTCATATTACTAGGCATGGATATGATCTCGAAATGTATTAGTATAACTCGGGAAATGCCGAGATATACAAAATTATCTGGGAGAATCTCGGCATAGCTGGCCACCTGCATCACCTACCAATGCTTCTGTGTCACCTACCATGCATCTATGTCTCCTATTATGATGCTTCATTCTTTGCCTGCAGTGCTGGCAAAGGTGGTTTTCCCATGAAAACAGAAGTCTCCACATTCCATTTCTTCATAACCATTAGCTAAGATTATACATGAATGTTCAAGGAAATATTTTTCTAGATCCATCCTACTTAGAAGACAAAATAAATTGAGGACAGTAAAAAGTAGTCTTCAAAGGCAATATTGTATGCTTTTTATTACTGTATTACAATTCATAACGTGTCCTTTCTATGTAAAATATACACTATACTTGTAACAAATTAATATTTTTTTCATCACACCATCTCCCATATGTTCATCATTTCTTGTAAGATGGCTCTGACTGTATCTCTCTCTTCTATTGTAACATTAATAGTTTTCATCATATTACAGGAGCAATGTAAAGACTCTAACAATATTTTTAATTCAGGTGTTTCTTCTTGGGGAAGATCCTCATCTTCTCTAAGTCTTTTGGTTGGTTTTTGTTCCTGGTTAGGCAAATCCTGGGATAAAGACTCTTTCATGTGCATCTGTGGAAACTCTGGTGTAGTAATGTCTTCAATTAGTTTTAAATCTTTTTGAAGCTGTATGTCCAGAATAGTAATATTCTGCTGCTGGAAAAGTGACATCCTTGACTGACCAGATGGTAATACATGAGGTTCCTGCTGCAAGTAGTTGGTCACCTGATCCTGTAATTCTTTTTCACAATATGTCAGGCACATTGGCAGAACCTGAAATATATTAATGCAAACAATCAGGAGAGTTTCAGCTGAATAAAACTACAGTATATGAGGCCCTAAAAAAAAAAGAAAAAAAAAAACATTGGCATAGAATGTTTCTTAAGTACTCTAAACAAGATGGAAATTTGAAGATTATCGTGGTATAATAAAATCCTCACAAGCAGATTTGCTATGACACCCTCACCTCCTCCCTGATCTTCCTACAGCCCCCCCACTCCCACAAAGAGTCGCCTCTCTCTGATTGTTTGTCAGCAAATACTGCCTCATTCGTGATACAATATTGTTTATTTGTTTTTCATTAATTAGTAAAGATACATTATTGTGCTTATTAATACCTGTACCCTTCATATACAATACAGTACAGTACTATGTATATACAGTACCTCAAAGGTAAAAAATAAAGCCATTTAAGACATCTTCAGGGTCATAAGACCCACTAACATGACCCAATAATCTCCCACCCAACCTACATCACAAATGTTAAGATGTGATTATAGTTATGTATTACAGTCAGCTGAGTGAAGTGTCTGCCTACTCTAGGCTAAAGATGACAGGATCTGCTGGTGAGTACAATATATATACAGTATAGTAGTACAGTAGAATACAATATTGTGTTTACAGTATGAACACTATTGTACTTGTACTGTGGTGTTTGCGTAAATAACTACAGCTCCTACGAGCTGCATCGTTTACTACTGGAAAATATCACACAGTCTTTGCTGTGACACACTTCCATATCATTTAGATTTTTTTTTTAATATATTTATTGAACCAAATTTTTAGATAAAGTATTCAAGATTATTTTGATAAAAAAAATGGTGTCTAAGGAAATTAGAACCGATTTTATTGAATCCGATATCAACACTTCTTACGTATTTTTAAAAATGAATGGTATTTTCATCATTATCTCATATAAAAATATTTTGTTTAAGGATATCTTATTGGAAATGTCTTGTAGAGAATTTATTCAGGGTCATTATGATAACAAATTCATCTCCCTGTCACAATTAGCCATGCATGATGAGGAAGGGGGGAGGGGGGGTTAGAGAACTGACTGTACGACCCTCACCCCCCCAAAAAGGTTCACTTCCGCCAACAACACACTCAGCCCACATTACTCACAATGTGCTACACACACCAACATTACCCACACAACCCCACCAACACCATCCACACAAACAAACAAACACACCCTCCAACACCACCCACACACCCCTAATCACCCTCCAACACCACCCTCACCCTACATCACCCATACACACATTCCAACAACCACCCACACACACTAATACCTATATATATATATATATATATATATATATATATATATATATATATATATAGTAAAGCCTCCGGTAACAATGGTTCGACCAACAATTTTTCATATTTAAAACCTTAGTTAATTTAGGACCCAATTCAATTTACGTCCTTATTTCATCCGTATTTACGACCAAAATATATTAAAAATAAAATATAAAATTACAATTTCATATAAATAATAACTAAATCCTGATATTATAAAAAAAAATATACTGTAAAAAAAATAAAGAGCGCCTTGTGAAAAGAAGCTGCCTTGCTAATGAGTGGTAAACAACAGTCGGAGCTTGGCGGGCCTTTTGTTTTCACGCATCTGTAACAGGAACAGGAGAAAAACTTTCTCGGGTTTCTTACAGCATTTTTGCATCCCTATTCAGCAAGAGCAAGTGATGTTAGTGTTGTTTCAAAAGCTAATAGAAAGTGTATGAGCTTAGCCAAGAAAATAGATATGTTAAAACTACTGTACCTGCATATGAAAAAAGTGAGAGGTCTGTGGATATTATATGGAGCAAGCAATGAGAAGTGGATCCACTAACAGAACAAAGCATTAAAATTTAAATAAATGCAAATGACCTCTACATAAAGATGTACTGTATAATGAGAAAAGAAAACAGTTGTGCAAGGTTCTTTCCACAGCTTTATTATTCGAAGGCATAAACCATCAACTTCAGCTACACCATCAAATTCAGCATCATAAGCAGCTTCAACATCAACTTCAGGTTCAGTAACAGTTTCAGCAAAGGCTTTATGGAAAGCTACAGCTTCAGCCAGTTGAACCTGATGACTTCGTCATCAAAGTAAAAACTCACGCAATGTTCATTGGCTGTCCTTGTGTTTTAGACTTTACCACCATTGGTGAGTAGAATTTTTGTTTTACATTCGTAAATATTATTTAAAACATATATGAACAGTAAATAAGTGTTGCTTTTATATTCATACGTAGAGAAATGACGATATGTTTTCACATGTAAGCACTAACTGTTCATGCTTTGGCGTTCCCATTTGTCTCGCTTTATTTCTTTACCATTAGTGGTTAGCTACTTTCAGTGTTCCATATATTAACATTAAATAACATTACTTAAAACATACATACAGGTATTAAATTTTTTTTTTTAAATTAAGTTCACTACAGCTACAACCAGGGTCTTATTTTCTTCAGTTTCTTATGTAGAACCATCGTCATTCACGAAAACAATGTCGTCTTGTCTCCTCGTGTGTGTTTTAATATTCTACGTATTATTAATGAATTGCATTGTTCATTTCACATATATAAACATTAATTCAATCAAATACATATTCAGTAATAAACAATAATGAATCTTTTGTACATATTCTTAAGATAAATGACTGTTTCCTTGAGTGTGTATGTATACATTGGCATTCCATTATCAGTCTCACTTTTTCTTTAATATCAGTGCAGGTAGTTCTGCTATAACGCGATAGTAGTGTTCTTGTAAAACATCGTGTTATAGAAATTCGTGTAATAGAAATAACAGGGCTTATGGAGAAAATAGGGTTAGGTGCAGATTACTCCAAATCGAAAAAAAATTTCGTAGTTAGCCTAACACAAAGGATAGCACAGTCTAAATAAATGTTACATTCATATCTAATAATGAAATCATACAGTAAATGTTACACTTTACCTTGAAAAAATATGAATATAACTTGATGGGGGATAAGGGTGATGTTGAGGCTGAGGAGTCATGAAACATCAAGCTTTTCTTCAAGTGTTATAGCCTTTCTTTTACGATCACCACCGGAAATGCGATCACCAGAGTGCTTCCCAGAGATATTCTTCTTTTCCATAGTCACAAAATTGGAGAAACAGTAATCAGAATTCACTGAGGACACTTAAAAACTTCACACGTGTTTCAAACAAAGTGTGGAGTAAACAGAGCGCTCGGGTCTAAAACGCTATGTATTTTGTTTTTCTCTTATTTAAAAGTTTACATTTTACATATACTGTACAGGTATACTGTATACATAAATATTACATAAATTATTTCTGCAATTCTTCACAAACAAAACACATAAATCAATTGAACATGTGATGTCGAACGTGAACTGTAAACACTGCATAACCCCGCACCAAGCCACAATGTACAGTACACTTTAAACGCTACTTATTTTGTTTTTCTCTCTTATTTAAAATTTTACAATTTACATATACTGTACAGGTATTTCTTCACAAACAAAACACATAAATCAATTGAACAAGTGATGTCGAACGTGAACTGTAAACATTGAGCCAAGCCACAACACTGTACAGTACACTTTAAACGCTACGTATTTAGTTTTTCTCTTTTCTTTAAATTTTTACAATTTACATATATATATATATATATATATATATATATATATATATATATATATATATATATATATATATATATATATATATATATATATATCATCTGATGGATCTTGATAAAATCACACGGGAAAATGGAAACAACGGAGTACCTTAGCTTTCGTCTTTATTCAAGACATCTTCAGAGGCAACTGGGTTACATGGACAGAGAGAGGCTTAAATATACAGGGTGACCTAAAAATATAAGGTCAGGTCATAATGATGACATCCACTAATCCGCACACCAACACACACGTAGAGGAGCTTAAGAGAAGGGTGGTGACGTGACTAGACAGGTCAGGTCAGAAAAAAGGGACCCACAAAATAACTATCATACATCAAGATCAAAGGTTTTCAAAGCATTTTTAACCTTGGGCCACTGACAAATAAATTTATGATGGTCAGTTCAAAACTGAAGATGTCTTGAATAAAGACGAAAGCTAAGGTACTCCGTTGTTTCCATTTTCCCGTGTGATTTTATCAAGATATATATATATATATATATATATATATATATATATATATATATATATATATATATATATATATATATATATATATATATATATATATATATAAATTGTAATTTACATATTATTCATATTATGCTAGAGCGCCCACAAAACATGAGAAACGTTTGAGTCCCCCAGTAGAGATGTCCGTTCTCTATCCACTCCAGGATGTCCGTTTTCTTTTTGTGTACTCGCTCAGGGACTCAAGTATTTCTGTATATGACACAGGATGATAAGGGAATTTGAATTTATTTGTTTATTTATTTATATATAATATACTGTAATATATTAAATATACTGCAAGTATTTTCTTTAATTTATATACGTGTTTCGCGAAAAAGGGAGGCTACATTTATGGTGATCGTTAAGGACCAAACTCCGAATCCATGACGTGACTTCTGTTCATTATTTATATCCTAAATTTACCACTGTCGGCAGTTTCAAGAATTAATGCAGTCATTTACTGAATATTCTTTGCAAAAAAATAAATTTTAAATGAATTATTTATAAGAGATAAGTATTATGATCAGTAAATATACAGATATGCATTACTGACCACCTCCGAACACAAGGATGGCTAAAAATAGCCACAGGCGGTCACAGTCAAGGTCACTTTCCCTTTCTTGTCACTGGCAAATGGGGGAGGGGGGGATGATAATAGCAGCTGTGTTTATTACGGTATGTTAGACTGGTTTATAATACATTTTTATTATTTTAATATACCGGTAATCTTCATTTTAATCCAGCTTACCAAACGTAAGTTTCAGTATAAAATAATTAGTGGTACTGTAGGACCTTGTGAGTGGTTTACT